CCCCGGCGCGGCCGCGCAGGGTGCAGCCCCCCCGGCTGGCTGTGCCGACCCCGGCCCCTTGCTCCCACAGAAGGGGGGTGCCCTGAAGAAGGGAGCCATCGCCAGGACACTGCAAGCTGTCAAGATGGTGCTGTCCTACAACCCCGACGTGCTGGAGTGGGACTCCCCGCACCGCACCAACCAGCAGCAGTGCTACTGCTACTGCGGGGGCCCTGGCGAGTAAGTCCCTGCCTGCCTGCCAGGAGGGCTGCTGGCTTCGGTTTGGTGGGGAAAAGCACTTGCAGTGGCAGGTGGGATCAGCCTGGGGAGTCCCTCCCCCCAGAAAGAGGCCCCCAGTTTGCAGGGCATTGCCCTGGGCCTGCAGCACTGCTGCCTCTGCCACCCGGTTCTCCACACGCTGCCAGACACATCATTTGCACCCACCTCCGTGGCTGTGGAAAATACAAGTTAGGGCCAGGCTTTCCCTCCCTGAGTGAGGGGTCCACACCCAGGGGGAGCGGGGGGCAGGGTTGGGGCTGCCACCTGCTGCCCTTGCTGTCACCCACCTCCTCTCCCTCCCCAGGTGGTACCTGAAGATGCTGCAGTGCCACCGCTGCCGGCAGTGGTTCCACGAAGCCTGCACCCAGTGCCTCAGCGACCCCATGATGTTTGGAGACAGGTACATCCCTGCCAGGCTTGCTGGGCTGGTGCTGGATGTTGGAGCTGGCTTCCCAAGATAGGCCTTGTCCCCATTCTGTATCTCCCTGACCTGGCTGTAGCACCTACAGGGACCAACCACCCCAGGGGCAGGGGGGTGGCCCTGTCCTGCAGAGCCCCACTCCTCCTGGCTGTGCTGTCAGCATCAGCATCCAGAGCACTGTCCTCACTCACCCCGGCCCATCCCCAGGCCCTGCAGAGGTGACCCCCATCCCCAGGGCTCCACTTCCTGCTGTTTTCCAGGTTCTATGTATTTTTCTGCTCCGTGTGCAACCAGGGACCTGAGTACATCAAGCGCCTGCCCTTGAGATGGTAAGAAATGGCCCTGGCTCTTTTGGAACCTGCTGGGGTGGCCGTGGGGCACCGGGCTGGGTGGTACCCAGTGCTACTGAGCCCCCTGCCCTGGGGCCAGCTCAGGAGCTGGGTGTTGGCAGTGCCAGCTCACAGAGCATCCCCTGCTCATCCCGGCCCAGCCCAGAGCTGTGGGGCTTGCTTGGCTCCAGGCCCTGCCTGCACAGCTCCTCCTGCCCAGCCCTGTGGGGCTGTTTCCCAGGAAAGCTTTTTCTCAGTGGGGCCCAAACCCACGGTTTGTCCCAAGCTCAGGCACACATTTGCCAGAAGATAATGGCAGAAAATCAATTGGGTGACAAGTCATGAAATTCTGTCATTAAGTGCAAGTTTGCAAATGGTACCTTCTAATGTACCTGGATGGTCTGAAAGCACTTTATAAAGACTGTGAACGGTGTGAGCAGCCCAGCTTTTTCCTGCTGTTCCCCTTGTAGCTTGTCCTTGTTGGAGGTGTAGCCAGTGCCAAGGGGCTGCTGGGACGTGGCTGCCTTGGGGACGTTGCACTGAGCAGCACAGTGCAGCAGCCTGGAAGAAGAATAAGGGAAATCCTGCAGGAAATGTTGCTTGGCTTTTGTTTTGGGAGATGCACGTGTAAAATCCCACAGGGTAGTTAAAATAGAGGGTGTATTTTCACATGGGTAAGAGCTGTCCAGCTCTCAAAACTGACTGCAGCAAGAGCCCATGGCTGGAGCTTGTTAAAGTGCTGGAAAACTGGGCATTCATTCTGGGAGCTGCATGTCCTCCAGCTCCTGGGCTTTGGGGGTCTTGGTGTTTGGGGCTCCCTCCAGCTGCAGGCAGTGTCCCACCACTCCCTGAAGTTCAGGGAATGCTGTCCTGGCCATGGTGGCATCCCCTGGGATAGGTATCCAGGCTAGGGTTACTTCCCCTGCAGAGTGTAGGAATGATCCTGACTTCCAGTGAGTTTTTGGGAGGGTCATGCTGAGGGCTGTGCTTGAGTGGTGCTGGTGGAGCAGAGCATCGTGGTGGGTGCCATCTATGATCCTGCAGGGGAGAGGGTGGGCTGCTGACTTGCTCACCCCCTTTGATCCCACAGGGTGGATGTTGTCCATCTCGCCCTCTACAACCTGGGTGTACAGAGCAAGAAGAAGTACTTTGACTTTGAGGAGATCTTGGCCTTTGTGAACCACCACTGGGATCCACTGCAGCTCGGGAAGGTAAAACAAGCAGCAGGGCCTGGGCTGGAGAGGGTGTGTGAGGAGGGAGAGGTGCTGCTGGGGATGTCAGTCACAGATATCTGTCCCCAAAGCCTCAGCTTGGAGGGACTGGATCCTCCTTCTCTGTGGCAGCCCTGAGCACCCATGGCTGGGACAGGTTGGCAGGTGAAGGTGGGTGCTCATGGTGAAACAGCAGGGCTGAGGCCTCTGCCCCTCGGTGGGGTTGGCTTCACCTCTTGGCAGCCACTGGCCCTGAGGTGCATTTGTGTGTTGCTTGTTGGGAAAGGGTTGGAGCTTTGGGGGTGCCCACTCTCCCATGGCCTGAGCCAGCTGCTCTCCTGCAGAAAGGAGCTTTAAAACAACTGGCTGGTGTCTCCCATCCAGGGAGCAGGAGTACCCAGCCTGGGGCATGGGCACCTGCTGGGGAGATGTGGCAGCTCCTTTGTGCTACACACCCACCTCAGGGATGGCATTGGAGCAGGGCATTCCCAGTGGCAGTATTGGTGGTGGAGGATGCTGCTCCCTGAGCTGGGAATGGTGTCAGCACCTGGACACGGCCCCTGGGCAGAGCTGAGGGACCCTTCTTGGAGCTGGGGTGCAGCTGGGGTGAAGGGTAGAAAGGGACGTGCCTGTCCCAGCAGTGCCACCGTGCTGGCAGCCCCTCTCCAATGAGCCCTGGAGTCCCAGCAAACTCCTGCTTTGTGCAGTGCTCGGCTCAAGTGGCTCCCGTGCAAAATGAGTTTAATTGCCTTTCTCCGTGCTGGGGTTTCCCTTTGTTCGGGTGGTGTACCTGGCAAGTTCCCCAGTTGGAGCTAGAGCTGGGAGAAGAGCTACAACTAAGGCATGTTGGAAGCCTGTCACCGTGTCTGGAGGGCTCAGTTCCCTGCAGGTGCCTTCTGCTCCTGCAGGGATAGCAGGCAGTGCCAAGCCTGGGCGGCTCTGGGCTTCGGCATCCCTGGTTCCCTGACCTCGGGCAGGAGCTGAAACATAGAGCTCGGGATCCCCCCTCTGTTGAGTTTTTGCATAACGACAGCGGGTGCCGAGCCCTGCCTGAGCCCTGAGCCCTGAGCCCTGAGCCCTGAGCCCTGAGCCCTGCCTGTTAAATAAGAAATGCATTTTTCAGTTGTTCTTCCTCTGAGCTGCAGTGCTGGGCAGCTGTCATGCAGTGAGTGCATCCTGCTGTACCATCCCTGACCTCAATGGAGGGGCAGAAAATGGGCTTTTGCTGTCAGCTCCTCATGCTGCTGCAGACCTGAGCCTCACTCACCCATTACTTCCAGTCTCGT